AAAGAAGACTTGCAGTCAGGCCACAGTTGTTTCTCCAATGCTTAGAAGGTCAACAACCAACCTTTCAAAAATATCCATTGATTAATCTGATAAACCACACACAATTTTTTTTTGAAGTGATTAAAAGAAATATATCTAATTTAAAAAAAACAAAGAAAGACCAATCAGTTTGAAAGGTAGGGAACTCTGGTTCTGTATTCTGGATTTCTTATATATTTTCTATATTTATTTTAATTACATTTTAAAAAATCAATAAAACCAAATGACTTGTTTACTATCTTCCTCAAATACACTCAAAACTGTAGTGTTTTTGAGGCAACCTATATGTTTGTCTACTTTGAAAACGAGATCTGTGACCCAGCAAAAATGGTGATAAGAGAAGAAAATCTAGACACACAACCTTAGGTACCTCAGCATTTCCTGGCCTCAACATAGAAGGTTTTATTGGGCAACTCATAAGTAACCATTATCATCCTTTGGAAAATTCTATCCAAGGACTGTCAAAGTTTTTTGCTTGGTCCTGGTGGCAATTGATAATTAGCCATTTTTATCTCAAGCTTTGTGGAAGTGCATAAAGATGAATTGTCATCTGCTGTGTCTTTAATCATTTGTTGAAATGCAGGCTGGTGTGTTGTTCTTCAACTCCTATCTGTCCCAGCCAAAATGGCTTGTGGCGAGGTCTAGTGGGAAATGTAGTCTAAACATTTGGAAGATACTGTTTTCCTCCCCACCCATGCTTAAGAAAGTGTCTATGCACCCCTGAAAATACTAATATTTAGCCATCCTGGCTCCAGGTATAACCTTTGGACGGTTTTCATGATAAGGTTTTCTTGGTCTGGTTTTTAGAAATCTTGCAACTTTCTTACCAAACTTTAGAATATTGTAACCTGAAAATTAGGAACAAGTTTGCTGAGTTGTAAAGATATGTCCAGTGCAAATGATAGTTCTCTTACTCCCTGTACGTCTTCCTCTTCCATGCAAAATATTAAAGGATCTACAAGTGGATATCCTTGTGAGTAGTTATAGCCAGCAAAGGATAAACAGTAGATAAATGGAAAATCAAAAATCAAAACACCTTGTATATATTGATATGGTAGAATAGACCATGATCCAAAGACTGTCGTCAGAGAACTTCTCAGGACCAGGAGTACTGATGGAAGGGAGGATTATCAGAGGAGTTTCTTAGTTAATAGCTAATTAATATTAACAATTAATGTGTTTTTGATAAAATCCTCTCTCTCTTGAATGGTTTGGGGAAATAAGTGTTACAATGATCAAGACTATAAATTATATTTAGGAAAAATCATTCAAAGGGTATTTTCTTTTTTAAAAAAAGTACCTTTGAACAGGTTTTATTCTCTGTCTCAGGAATGCTTTCTGAATCAAAGGATACTTCTGGGATATCATGAACAGACATGTTTCTACCATCTCTGTCACATAAAGTATGTCTGGAAAATTGTGAACAAATAAAAAAGGGCTGTGATATTGAGACAGACAAATCTTTTTTTTCTTCCCAAGACTCATTACAGGCTTCTTTGTTTTGGCTCTGAATTTTGCACTAGTCAATTTCCTGCTGAATGTATCTTGTTTTAAAATGAGAGATCAGAATATTCTTCTGACCTCTTATTCTAAAACAAGATACTGCACATTCGGCAGGAAATTGACTAGTGCAAAATTCAGAGCCAATTGGGACACTGTAGTTGTTATTGTCAATGAAAGCTTACAAACAGCAGCAAAGGCTGTTGACTGTCCAACCTTGTCTATCCTTCACTCTCACTGCTGCTTCACCACTATCTATTTTGGAGTAAAAGCTCCTTGGAGCCAGGGATATCAGTGTTGCTAATATAACAGTACATGGACTGATAGCAAAATATAAATAATAAGTAAGCTAGGATATCTAAGTTTTAAATACAGGTAGTCTTTGGCTTAAGACCACAATTAAACCTCCAATTGGCCCAAAGCCTCAAAAACGTAGTGAAACATTTGTTAAATGAGTTTTTCCCCATTTTACAATCTTTCTTGGCCAGTTGTTAAGTGAATCACTGCAGTTGTTAAATTGGTAACATGGTTGTTTAGTGTGTCTGGCTTCCCCATTGACTTTGCTTGACAGAAAGTCACAAAAGCTGATCACATGACCCCCCCAAGACACACTGCAACCGTTATAAATATGAACCAGTGGCCAAGCATCTGAATTTGGATCATGTGACCATGGGGATACTAAAATGGCCGTAAGTGTGAAAAAGGTCATAATTCACTGTTTTTAGTACCATTGTAACTTTGAACAGTCAATATTTACAGACCCCTCACATCCCGGACATAAACTGTTTCAACTCCTTCCCTCAAAACGATGCTATAGAGCACTGCACACCAGAACAACTAGACACAAGAACAGTTTTTCCCCGAAAGCCATCACTCTGCTAAACAAATAATTCCCTCAACACTGTTCAACTATTTACAAAGTGTACAGTACTATTACTGTTAATCTTCTCACCACTCCTTATCACCCATCCCCTCCCACTTGACTGTTTCCTAGTATGATTTGATTGTAGATTGTACCCTATGACTATCATTAAGTGTTGTACGTTATGATTCTTGATTCTTAACGAATGTACCTTTTCTTTATGTATACTGAGAGTATTTACACCAAGACAAATTCCTTGTGTGTCCAATCACACTTGGCCAATAAAGTATTCTATTCTATTCTATAAGTGAACTATCTGTGCTATTTTTCTTTCTTTTAGCCTAGAGTTTGAGGGCTGGCAGGTTTATACAGTTAGGTCTCAAAGTATGACCACAGCTGAGAGCAGAATTTCTATTGTAAATAAGGCAATTATTAAATGAGTGGCACCTGATTATTCAGGTTTTTTTTTTGCCATGGTTGTTAAGTAAATCACTGCGGTTGTTAAATGAATCATGTGCTTCTTTAAGTGAATCTGACTCCCCCCGTTGACTGCTTGTCAGAAACTGGCAGGGCCACAGATGGCGATCCTATGATCCTGGGATGCGGCAACTATTGAAAATACATGCTGGTTGTCAAGCACCTAAATTCTGATCACATGACTACAGGGATGCTGCAGCAGGCATCAGGTTGAGGACGGGTGATCACATTTTTCAGTGCTGTTGTAAATGTGAATGGTTGCTAAACTAATGGTTATAAGTTAAAGGCTACCTGTATAAGCTAAAACAAGGTCCCCAACCTTTCCTGCTCTGTGGACCGACGGTATGTGTGTGAGGGAGGGGATGGTTTCACATGCGTGCCTGCCCCATGCACAAATGGAGCTTTTCACCCTTACCTGCCACTTGCGTGGCCTGGTTCCCAACAGACTGCAGACTGGGAGTTGAGGAGCCCTGAACTAAAACAATAAAGTATTTTTGTAAGGGCGTAGTTTTATCATTTGGGGGCTAAGGGTCATTCATAACTATCTTTATTTCATTTTCATCTTTTTCTTTTCAGCAAGCAGTATAAACGCCACACTCTCATCACTCTTGTGGACATGTATTTACTGTGGAAGTTTCAGGTGTCTGTTGTTCTGGAGATTGATAATATACATCTTTCTTATGTTTAAACTTCCCAGTATTTTTGCTAGGAAAGTAAAAAAAAAGTTCCTCTATCTAGTACAGGGGTGTCCAACCTTGGCAACTTTAAGACTTGTGGACTTCAACTCCCAGAATTCCTCAGCCAGCAAAGGAATTCTGGGAGTTGAAGTCCACAAGTCTTAAAGTTGCCAAGGTTGGACACCCCTGATCTAGTATATGCCATTACTACTGATGTGATTACTGTGTGCAGTACAGGTGTTTAAGGCTTCAAATCAATGGTGGGATTCAATTTTTTTTACTACCGGTTCTCTGGCCATGGCTTGGTGGGCATGGCAGGGGAAGGATACTGTAAACTCTCCAGTCAGAGGTCATATTTGCTGGTTCTCCAGACTACTCAAAATTTCCGCTACTGGTTCTCCAGAACTGGTCAGAACCTGCTGAATAACACCTCTACTTCAAATGGTTACTTAGTGGTTACTTTCTGTGACTAAAATGGAAATTAGAAAAAAAGTGCTAATTATTTTTTTTCCTGGTCTGGAAACTAATAACATTTTTTTCCTGAAATGTCTAGCAGACATATTTGTTTCCCAGTGAAATACAACAACATATCCCCGCTGCATTTTCAGATGTATTAAATGAATGTTTGCCTGGCCTTTGGCTTCTGCTGAAATAAAAGTTCTGTGAATTTCATGGTTGCTGTGGATACAGGTAACTGCCTTTGGTTGAAGGGACACTTGCACAAAGCTGCCCTTGTCCTCTAACAGATGCCTGGACAAATAATTTCAAAAAAGAGGTAGAGTTATTTGTATAGGAGAAACTGGTTTTTCTATACTCATGTAAATGCAGTGTCCATTGTGCTTGCAAGAGCAAAAGGAGATCTACATCACTGCTGAAACTGTGACTTTGAACACTAGTAGTTCTAAAGGCTGACTTCTAACAGAAATAGTCATTTATTCCGTGCCATGGCTGGCTTCTTAGCAGGGTGCTGTGGTTGAGCTGGAAACATTTAAAAGGGCTTGTGTGTGTGTGTACACCTACATATAAGCATTCTGATGTACTTCGCCAGTTTGTCTGATTTAAAAAGAACAACAAGGAGATGTTTACAAGATGCCTGAGAATACCAGACTGGCCAATAAAGAGATTTTTCTATTCCCAAGGTGTTACAAAGACTTGTCCTCATAATCCTTTGAAAGGGGCGCCGGGGAGGGGGGGGGAGGGGGAACTGGAAGAGCAGCAGTTCTTTTGTTTTGGGGTCACTCAAGGGACGTAGACTACAGTACTGAATAGGAAAACTTGGGCTTTTCCTTTAATTATATATCTTCAATTATAGATCTCAAGCTGATTTTGCTCTTTAAAGGGAAATCGTCATTTCTGGAATGGATTTCTAGGGGGATAGTGAGTACAGTGGAAACACTTCTCTTCTGACATACTGATGATGCATTTGTTTCATTTTGCCACGCTAGCTGAGAATTCTTCATGTCCAGCAGATCTAGGAGGCAGGAGGCCGGAGAAATCTGCAATAATGCAAGCCCTGGCATTTGTAAGTACTGGCATGGTTATAAATATCCACGATCAGTAGCAATATAGTTTTTCAAATGCATTTCGAGCGGCCACTTCTTTTACACAGATCGACAGTTTCACATGAATTCTTTCTCTCTAGTTTCTTCACTATCTGCGACTGTAAAAATCATGCTGAATATTTGCATAGATTACACCACTTGAAAAATAAATAGAACATCTGATAGGCCCTAATCTATAAAATGACTTACTATTTTCAAGTCACTGAATGCTTTAGATTTTAAATGATTCTGTAATAGCTTCTGGCTGCTTTGAGGCATCATAATCAGTTTATCATAAAGGCTTCCCACCTATCAGGACTACCATGCATAATTGGCATGGCCATGAGAAGACGATTGAAAGTATTTACTTCTGTTTTAGACTAATAATTTTTGCTTTACTCTCCAAAGTCCACAAATTTTAATATAGTACAGCAAACCAACCAAATGATAGTTTACAAAGATGACTTGCCTCGATGAACTGTAGTTAACATTAGCCAGTGATTAAGAGGCAACGTTAAAGTCAAAAGTGAAAGCATTTGATTTTATTGCTACCATGCTAGTAAACAGTTTAGTGCCACAACTAATTGTGGTGCTCTAATTATGAGGAAGATAGTTGGACTTGTTTTATAATTTGCCCTAAATTTATAGGGTGAGTATATAGGCTACCTGTAATTCTGCAATGGCAGAAGAAATGGAATGTCATACTAATGTTTGTATTGTATTGTTTTGAAATATTAACAGTGTACATTGGTGTGAAGTCTTTTTCTAGTAAATTTCATTTAGACTGTTTTTGTTGTTGCTAGTTTTAGAAAACATGCAGTTTGTTATCAAAGAGAAATTTCAGTAATGAAAGTCAACTTAATAATATTTGGGGCAAAAATGAAAATATTGTGTAGAAGAATGAAGTGCTCCATATGAATAGCTGGAAGTTGTGCTACATTAGTGAGGAAGATATCACACTACTAGGAAAACCAGTAGTGTGGGTTACTCCTTGATCAGAATTGAAAACGTAGAATACTTATGCTTCTTTAAAAGGGAGTTACTTTAGATAATGTTTTAGAACATCGAAGGCATACTTTTATGTCCTACCTTATTAGATGCCGCATAATGGCAACATTATTTTCAAGTAAGGATGGAACAATTAGTTATTTGAATAGAGTACAATAACTTGTATTACTCTTTCTATGTTGGCTTGTTGTTTAAATTTTCCTGCCGTTTTCCAGTACTTTATTGCTTATTAATTGGCTGTTTACATCAATATTTGTTTTAGATAATACTGCTGCAGTATACTCTAATAATAGCTCATATATTCATCTTAAAACCACACACACACACAATTTTAAAAAGTATATATTATTCTATGAATTCATGCTTCATCTTTCTACTCATAGAGTGATTTCTGTGACTATGGCAGACATGGGGTTTTTAGTGTTCAGAGACCACATCCAGCCTGCAGGTGGTCTCAGTCCATCTTGTGGCAGCAGGTGGTATCAGTGGGGGCAAGGCGTTATCAGAGGCAGGGGTGAGGAGTCAGCAGCGGGGGGAGCAGGATGGCGACAACTAATCCTTGCATTAACAAACCTAGCAGGTCTATAAAACAAAGAAAAGGTAAAGTAAGATCATAAGCACAGTCATGGTTTTACCTAGTGACCACTTTGCTTAATGACTGTGTTGCTGGTCCAGTTCTGATTGCTAAGTGAGAACTACTAGTATTGTGGAGAGAATTGAACCAAGAAGATCCTAATTGTAGCTTGATACATCGTAAAGTAATGAGCTACAAATCACATAAGAAAAGCAAATATTGCAGCTTTATTAATGTTTTCAAAGGAAGTTGACATAGTTTTCTGTACCTTCGGATTTAGATACAAAGTTTCCTGGATTGTGGATTGTGTCCATTTTATCAGATAAATGGAAAGTATTATGAAAAGGATTTTATAGGTAGAACAATAAGGGAAAGACACTAGAACTTAGTAGACAGTAATCATTAGTAATATAAGGCTTTGTGGAATTTATTTGAAATATCCATTATGTGAGTTTTTGGTTTTCAGACTATTTGTCTAATGAAAGTAGACAGGATCTACAAAACATTATATAAAAATAAATTGGTCAGCATTATTAATGTAAGTTGTTAAAACTATAGTCCAGACCAGGGGTCTCCAACCTTTTGGACCTCAGGGACCACCAAATTCAGAATTTTAATCCTGCACACCACTGATATGAACCCAGAAAGCCGCTTGCTGAAGCATCTGGACTCCCACTGACGGGATGGGGTCCTTCAGGCACTTAGCTTGGCTGCTTGTTTCTGCAACCTTAAATACTCAAAAGAGTCATTTGGACCCATTTCCCACAGAAAACAAAACACTGCTGCCAGTATCACCCCTGTTGCAGACATGGGTGTGCTGCACACCACCAAAATTTTATCACGGACCACCAGTGGTCGACGGACCACTGGTTGGCGATCTTTGGTCCAGACAATGATCACTTAAATGTGTTTCCTGAGAAATTACTTTTAGCCCCCTACCCCCAACTTAACTAGTATACATAGACTAAATCTTTGTTGTAAGCATTCATTAAGTACAGCCTGGCAGTAAAACTTTGTTGGCTCTATACATGGACATGCGATTGGTTAATATAAACATGTGATCGATTTTTGATGAGGGCTGTTGAATATTTCCTATAGCACCATCTCACTATCATTTCTAGAGAATCAATAGAGTAATTATATAGCTTTACTAGTGAATGTCTCCTTTAGATATATTTGAGGGGGGGGAAAGCAAAATAGCAGGCATTATAGGAGAAAGTTTAATTGGGCCATGTAGACCAGTAAGAGTGCTCTTAAATTTTCTAATACGCCTAAGAGGATTTTACTTTAATTAAGAACTAGCCCTTTGGCAGTAGGAAATGAAATGAGTTGAACTGTTCAGGGTTTGAAATACTCCAAGGAACTTTCGCTACTTAAATTAAGATCATCATTTTAAAAAATTCTAACCAGAAATACTTGGTGCAAAAAAAAAAAAAAGAGAGAGAGTCAAATTCACAAGTATTAGAAATTGGAAGAAGTGCTCCTTCTTCCAACTAAGAGGAAATCTTAGTTATTATATTAAATGCTACAAAAAGTTAGGGGCTGTGCTGCTCATGTGTTATGCTATACCATCATTTGCTTTAAGTATACATTTTAATTGATTATGTATGATCAAATCAACGTTGACTCTGAACCACATACACATATTCTCCAAATGATAATCTGTTCCTAACCTTTTCCTTCAGGTTTTCCAAAATTATTCCCATTGTCCCTATAACTGAATCTGTCCACCTTGCTGCTTATCTTCTTCTCTTTCCTTCCACCTTTCCCAGTATTATAGCCTTCTCTGGCTCTTTGCATAATATGTCTAAAGTAAGATAACTTGCGTCAGTAATTTACATTTTCAGTGAGAACGCTGAGCTGATTTGTTTGATGATCCATTTTTTGTTTTGGCTGTCCAAACTATTCTCAGGAATCGCCTCCAACACCAAAGTTCAAAAGTGTCAATACTCTTTCTGTTCTGCTTCTTCAGAGTCCAGCTTCTCCATCCATTGACTATCATAGGGAATACCACGGCTTTAACTATTCTGATCTTTATAGGTATAGACATATTGCAGCATGTGAGTATATTTTCCAAGGCCTTCATGGCTGCTCTACCAAGTGCTAGTTTGTGGCATATTTCTTGATTTGTTGATAGCTGATCCTGAAAGGCAGGAGTTATCTACCACTACCCTATCTTCATTGTCAATTCTAAGGCTGGTTATTGTACTTGTCATTAGTTTCCTCTTCTTTATATGTAATCATATTTATTCACTGTACTTCTTGACTTTCATAGTTTATTAAGTATACCAAAAATAAACCAATGACTACATATTCACCTGATGTGGCAAATTAGGCTCATTTGTTATTGATCGCTCTTTCCTGTGAACAAGCGTGGTATAGAAACAGCTTTCTCTGGCTTGTTTAGGACTTACTGCCTCATCTGTCCCCTAGGGGCTTCCCACTGTGAATATCTCCGTAAACAAACTTCATACCATGGAGATATTCTCCCTCCCACGGATGAACTGCATTCATATCTTATATAAGCTTTAAACAAAATGCTAACAGTTGTTTCCAAGCTCTGCAACAGGGACAGATAGAGTAACCAGACAGGTGTATTTGCCAGTAATGAACAAGCCTAGTCTTTTGTATCTTCAAAAGAATTCATTTTGCAGAGAAGTAAAAATGGCTAGCTGAGCTACTTCTTAATTGGCATTTTCTCCTTTTCCCCAAACTCTTTGGCCACTGGTTTGTGGTTAACGGAGGCTTGGGCCCGGGGGTGAGATTCAAATTTTTTAACAACCGGTTCTGTGGGCGTGGCTTAGGTGGTGGCCGTGGCTTGGTGGTCATGAGACTGGGTGGACATGGCTTGGTGGTCATGTTATTGGCTGGGTGTGGCCAACCACTCACATCGAGGCACGCATCCCCTCACCTGGCCTCTCAAGGTTGTGGGGATGCTGCAACAGTCGTAAGTGTGAAAAATGGTCACGAGTCACTTTTTTTAGTGCCATTGTAACTTTGAATGGTCACTCCACACAAGCAAAATACCAGCAAAGGAGAGGAAAAAAACTCCAGAGTAGCTCCGGAGACAGGAAGTCTAGTCCTGCCAAGAATGTAATAAGGGTTAACAGAGAGGCAGTTTCTGTAAGCAACACCAGAATGCTTCCTTCCTGCCTTCTTTACAGGATTAGGCCAGTAATTTCTTCTAACAACCGGTTCTCCGAACTGCTTAGAATGTTAACAACCGGTTCTAGCGAATAGGTGCGAACTGATAGAATCCCACCCCTGCTTGGGCCAGGCCCCAACCCAAATATAAAATATGTCAGGAAACTGCATATGGTGGCAAGCTATATTTAGATTTGCAAGCTAACAAACAATGGTTTCAAACTAAGTTCTGACCCTTTGTTGATTCAGTGACCT